GATCCCGAGATGAAGTTTAAACAGATGAGCTTTATTGCATTCAAGGAACAGTAAAATCGAAGTATTGTTCGAAGTACCGGTACAAAATTTCCAGTTTATATAGTACTTTTCAATCCGCTTCTGATGTAGTTAGTTTCCGTGGTAATGGGGGGAGGTCATGGTGTTCGAACGATTCACAGACTTTGGCCAAATGGTCAATGTTAGGTTTGTTTCCTTGGGGGGAGGGGGGTTCCTAGCTGGCATCTGGAATCCTTATCAGTTGTCTGACTTTCCTGCCATATCTCTAAGCCTGGAATTTCTTGTGTCACAAGAAGTCCAGTCCTTGTGCAGAAAGGAATCAGTTAACCCTTCTTCACATCTTATATCTTTCTTCACCAGTCATGGCCTCCTAATAAGCCCCATCTCTGAATTGGATTCATCACTCTCTTCTCCTCCCCACTGATAGCTGATGTGTGATGAGCATTCTGGTGCACTATGACAGGTGGATGCTGCACATTGGTGGTGGTGGATGGGAGTCCCCATTATCTGTAAAGTGATTTGAGTGGAGCATCCAGAAAAGTGCTATATACTGTAAGTGTAAGAAATTATAATTTACACTCTTGGGAAAAAAAAATGATCTAAAGATGGAGATGAAAAAGGAACGAAAAGAGTTCAAAAACAAATTCAAAAGAGACATTAAAGCAGAATATAAAAGATGAAATAAACCAGAAGCTGCAAAATGCCATTAGTGATATACGGAACCTAGGCACTAGGATAACAGAGATGGAGAAACTTATTCAGGAGTTCAAAACAGTGAACGTTGACCTCAGGGACAACCTGCTCCATGCCCTGAGGCAAAAGAAAACAATGCTGTCCAAACTGCCCAACTGGAAGGGAGATCATTGCGAAATAACATTCCCATCTATGGTATCAAAGAAGACTTTTACAGATTCAAAGAGCACACAGGTCCCTTTTCCCGGAACCTCAGGGCGATGTAATGCTGAGGTCCAATGTGGTTAATTTTCAACAATTCAGCACGAAATAACTCATCCCAAAGACAGCATGGGCTTATGAAATTACCTACAAGAACAAGGTGGTTTCTTTTGGAGACAACAACCCAACTGAGGTGATCACGATGCTCGAGGAGTACAAGGAGATAAAAAAGATTCTTAAAGTTAAACAAATCTGCTTTCAGACACTAAATCCGACCAAGATATCCACTGGGAGATGGGAACACAGATTTATAATAATGCCAGCGAGACAGCAGAGGACCTGAAGAAAAGAGGATATAATGTGGAAGCAATCCGAGATGTGAGTGTCCCCTCTTGGGAGGAGAAGCTCACTCAAGCCCTGCACTCACAGGCGGAGGGGATAAAAACAAATGAGAATTTCAACAGCGCTTTGGGGCTGTCTTTAAATTGCTGGATACGTGAGTCTTTTTATGGCAAAAAAAGTTTTGACTTTTTTTGGTAATGATAAAGGAACTAACGTTAGTGTAAAACAAATTATTTAAATGTTAAACATTTAAGTTAAAATGAACTCTGTGTCACAAGTACTGGAAGGGATGACAGGAACAGGGCAGTCTGGTCGGTGTAAACCAGGAACTAACTAAGACAGGGCCCAGGACCTCAAGGAAATCCAACAGGTGGAGCACCAAATACCAACTGATCCTCAACCCTAACCCTTAACAGGGGGACTCCTCTAGAGAACAGGCCAAGCCAGCAATGTCAGTTGACTGGGGAAGTGCACCCTAGACCACACCAAACAACGCACCCCCTGGAGTACAGGTCTAGTGCAGAGTCCTGGGGCAGGACAGTGGCCGGACAGGAAGGAAGGCTGGCATGGTGAAGCAGAGTCTGGAGTGCAGGACACAGGGCTGGCTGGACACAGGGCTGAAGTGCAGAACTGGCAGAACTGAAGTGCAGGACACAGGGCTGGTAAGATACAGCCCAAGAGTCCAAGCAGGGGAGAACCATTAGGGCTGTCAGCTGTGCAAGGCTGAACTGCCAGGCCCCCTATGCACTGGACAGAAAAAGTGCCACAAAAGAGATCACAGCTGTGCTTCACCCCAAAGGCTACACTGTGAGGAGGGGTCTCACTGAATTTAGGTGAGGTGTGGGACCCTACTCTGTGAACCAGTCAGATGGGGCACAGGACCTGGAGATTCAAGTGCACGCCCTAATAGGAGTCTCCTCCAAGACCAGGTCAGGTGTGTACTGTCAGCTTAGTCTTCCAGGTTCATCACTCCAACAGACGCGCCTGGGTGTGATCAGCATCAGATACCAAGGTGCCTTTGGACCAACCATCTGCCAGGAGTGGGTGACACAGTTTCCCGTCCTCTAATCCCCTTTCTTCTTCTGAAGCCATGGGTCAGCATAGGCACTGGGGGTGCTACCAGTGAGAGCCTGAAAGCACAGGAATCCTCAGGGAGCTCTGGCTAATGGGGCTGGAGAACCACCAGGATTGTGCAGGCCCCTGGGCTAACACAGCACTTCATGAGTGCAAGTGCAGTGCCGCCAGTGCACATACTGTACTAAGGGGGGAATGCCATGCTTACTGTGGGAAAACTGTAGCACAACGATGATCCAGGGAACCAGAAGCACCTTGCGCTCCCTGCAGGAACACTCAACTGTGACATGGGTCCCCGGGGGAACACAATTGTGCACTGACAGCAGGCAGCCACCGCACAAAGAGCTATAGAACTGTCCTCCCTTAGAATACAAGTATGGGCAGGTCAGGACATAGAAAGACAACAGGGACAGTCCAGGTAGGTGGGAATCAGGAGCAAAATGGAAAACAGAGGGAATATAGGCAGACCAGCAATGGGAGAAAGGCAGGGAAAACTCCTCTGGGAAACTGCAGGCTGGTGGTCTATAATTGCAGTGCAGGAAAAGGACTGAAATGCAATGCCAGCATGCCAAGGAGAAGCCAAACAGGACTTATATAACCTGCAGCACCTGATCTAGACTGATTACTTATTGCATTCAGGTGATATGAGTATATAATCTGCTCAGCAGCCAGTGAAGGGCCCACAGCCGCTGCAACAACACTTGTCCCTCAGCTTCACAGTGGGGTGAAAGTAACACTGACTTTATAATTAGGTATTCATAAAAGATTTAATAAAATCAAAAGATAAATTGATTGAACACTTCCCCAGGACACCTGCTCACCTCGGACACGCCCCCCCGTCTCCTGACCCACTCCTGCATGATATTTTTTCCCTATTGTTTCTTCACCTTCCGGTATCGTAACGTCCGCATAGGGCCCGGATAGAACTGTTCTTGACAGTACCCTCCTGATCATAGCACAAGGAAGCTCAAAGATCATTCAGAAAGAGTGAACCAAAGGACAGCTGCAAGGTGGAGATGGAGCGGGGTGCTTTAGACCAGTGGTTCTCAAACTTTTTGGACGAAGTACCACCCCTAATCAAACCAAAGCATCCAAGTACCACCTACAAGTCATCTTCTCATAGAAACCCCAGAAAATCTCAAGGACCAACATGAGCGCGCGTGCGCACACACACTCATATACACATAATAAATATTATAATAATAAACTTTATTTGGTAACATGCCTTTAAAGGTGGTTTCTCACAGTGCTTTACAGAAAAAAACAGGAACAAGAAATAAAAATAAACAATAAAATAGCACCATTTCAGTGAGAGGGGTGAGCCTGTTTAGTCGAGTAAAGCGGATGTGAATTCATTTTTCGAGCCTTGATACAATTCACAACAGAGTCTAACAGATTTTAAATCGTCAGGCATTTTCTTGACAGCAAAGACTGTGTCTTTCAGAGGGGGCAGCAGGCCTAGCTGTTTAGGAGCTTTTTCTCCACACATATATGTGTCAGCTCTTTTGCCAAAGGTAAATAAGGTTCTTCAAAAATAGTGTGGGGCTTACCTGCTTTAGCAATCCGGAAGCTTGTATTTTCTCCCGTTTCCGGTTCAGGAGTCCGTCTCAGAAGTGAAAATAAGTTTTTATTTCATGCGCATGGGAGCGAAACACAGAGATGCTCGATGTATTTTTCTCAAATTAACCTAGAACAGTTCTTAAATATTTTTCTGTTATCTATCACGCTTTCCTGTGGTCACAAGATTGCCAGGGTTCCTAGCACGCATTTCTATGCATTCCTGTGTTTACAACATTGGCATTGTTCCAAAATCACGCACATTCTCCTACCTCTCTATTTGCTGGAGATAAGTTTTTTTTAAATACAATTGGTCACTTAGTTCGTAGCACGCATTCCTGTAGAGTGGTATAGAATTACATTGTAGCTCTGTGTCCACTCAAGTATTGGCACGCGCTGTATCATGGTACGTGGGCTGCATATTCGACACGTTTTAAAATAGAAAATATGAAAACCCGTCCCAATTTTTCAGCGCACATAAAGTTCCAGGGTCATATGGCGTACCCGCTGGCGGTGCTCTGCGTACCACAGTTTGAGAACCACTGCTTTAGACAAATGCAAAGGAAAGTCTGTGTTCAATACATGAATAGCTCATTTCGTAATGATGGTGATTAGGTACAGCTGTGTGATTGACTTGTCCTTGTTATCCTTCCTGAGCTTCAGTTAATAAACTTCCATTCAAATAGACCACATAAAGCTGCAATATTCTCCTACTTCTTATACTCTGTTTTACTGCATTCTTCTTTAGTCATTATTAACATTGCAACACCATCTGATCATGTCCACTGGGACATTTCTAAGCGGAGAGTGCCATCTTCCTTAGCAATTCTCATTCTTCATTCTGTCTTAAAAGGTAGAGACAGTAATATTTCTGTAGGAATGACACAACTACTTTTATTTCTTCTAAATGAGAACACTTTTAGCTCTCCTCAGTGACACCCTACTCTCTCACATCAATTAATTATTTTGCATACATTTGGTATGCAAAATAAGAGTCATGAATAACCATGAATAAATGTAGTTCAAGTAGGTAGATGCGTCAGCGTAGGTTTTCAAACACAGAAACATCGTAGTAAACACTTTTCACAAACATTAGACTCCTGTAAGCAAGCATGTGAAATGCGAACCACTTTATTTCAACAGCAGATTTTCAAACACAGAAACATCGCAGTACACACACGTTACTGGCTCCTGTTTGCAATCAACAATTAAATGTTGGTGCAAAAAATTAGTTCGGTACACGTAACTACCACCCTAACATTGCTGAGAAACTTTGAGGCATCTGAAAAAGCATTCATAATCCCCTTCTGCTCCCCATGTCTAAAACCACGCAAACTACACTGGGCGATCCGATCTAACAGAGGAAAAACATTTGCTTGCGTAATCAGCAAGATGGTGTTACCACAGGTTCTGTGCAAAACATGTTGTATTTTGGAATACACACTGCAGAAGCCACCAGGCCTCCGTTTCTGATCTGAAAACATCAGATCTGCAATAATTTCACTCATGTTCTTGACATACACATCTCTTAACACATTGAAGGACATTAGCATTCAACTCTTTGTTTTTTATATCAAGCTTTGTAGAAAGAAGTGTGTAAAGCACTCTTTGTAAGAATTCAGATGTATACTTTTGAAATTCTTCATTCTTCAGACGATGGCACACCCGGGTCTGTAAAACAGAGTGAAAGCTCTATTCACATGGCGTCTATTTCACATTTTACATAGATCTTTTTTTTTGCGTCTGTAAAAATAAGAATAATGTTTTTTTGCAATGTATCAAAAGTCACGTCTACTAATTTTTCATCTAGCTGTTCAAGTATGGAGCGTAGATGCACGTATGGTGAGCGGTCGTCAATTATGTTTTTCAGCAAGTGTTTTATGCCCCGCTCAGTGTCATTTGTAATGGTGTATGAACCCAGACACCTAGCGATGTACAGAACAGCTGATAAAATTCAGGCTAAACTGAGAGACATCAATTTCTAACGCAGCAAATGTCACATCTTCAAACCCATCTGTGTAGCCGACAGCCAGGCATGTGTGACCCCTTTGACCAAGGTGGTCAATCAAACAGACCGGGCATTCATCAACCAGAACCCCCTTTAAACAGTGTTTGAAGATGCAATAAACTACTGCTTTTACAATTTGGGCCATAACATCGGGCTAATTAGAGAAATCGTTAGCTAAACCTGGTTGAGCATCATCATTATTAACATTTGGACGAACACACAAGCATAAAACATTCAGGCGCAATGGTAGTTTGAAGATTGATGCATCGACCTCTTCGTTATTCTATTAAAGGAAAAAGAAAAGGAAGGCTTAACAAAATAAATAGACATGCTTTGCGCCTAAAATATCTATCATTTAATGCCTCTTTTGAGTTAGGGTTTTTCGTTAATATTTACCATTTGTAGCGACGTATCATCACCACTACCAGGCAGTTCTTCATTACCAGGTTCCCCATTCGAACTCACACGACAGCCGCTGTCACACGTCGCAGAGGGCGAGGTTGGGTTTTGCCAAAAAGAAGACCAAGTATTAAAATGACATACGCTAAGCGCCGATTGAAACAACAATTCCACGATCAGAAAAAATATTTTAGCAGCCTACCTCTTCACTTTGTGGAGCAGAGGAACCCGATGTTTCTCCACACAAAGAAGCCATCTTTGTAGCTCCCAACACCTGGATGGTATCTGACAGCTCCAGGGACATGCTGCGCCAGTGTCAAGCCGGAGCGTTTAAGAATATGAACCAATGGTGTAACCACGCCTACATAACACAAGACATTTTTCAATTGGTTGTGGTGTTTTAGAACGGTTGGTCTTAAAGTTTTAAAATAATGTAATAAGACACAACTTATTTTTAATAACACATTCGCGACAGCTTTTTCAAAAGTTTGAAATGAATTTCCACACACCGCGCGTGTGAAAATCTTTAAAAGTATTAACAGGCAACAAATGATGTGTTTGTGCAGAAAATTAACAGTGACAATAAACGGACAGATATAGGAGTTATAGTTTTTCATTTGTTTTAAATGCTGTTTTGTACTGTATATACTGAAACGCTTCGGGTTCTGGAGGGCACCTTTGCCTTCTGCCTACACAGGTCGGCCCCGCACCGTGGGAGACACGAACCCAGGCCTCCGGTGTCACTCAACAGGGACCAAGCCAGCTCTTACACACCACTGACGGCCGTAAGCATTACAATACATTTAAGGTTTATATTAATCTTAAGTTTTCTAATTTACAATCACCACATGAATTTCATGCAAAAATGTAAACGTTCTTAACATCGCATCGCGAAAAAATAAAACCTCAAAACGTCAAGGTTGGTTTGTGAACATGTCGCTATAAAGAATAGATACATTTTCTTATAGCGATACTATTAATAAAAAACATTTTTCTTAATAATATTCTTAGTGGTCTGTTGGTGAATCAAACACAGACACCGGGACACATTTTCACCACGTTTTAACAGCTATAAATTTAGACACCGTTGTATGTCGTTGTATAATATAGATTTTAACATTATAACGGTCTAAAACGTTTTCTAAAAATGTTTCTTTAAATAATTTCTACAGCCCAGCACGTGCATGCCCCATGATACCTAAGGTTAAAGGATTTATGGGGGGAACATGTGGGAAACGTGTTTCTTAGAAGAGGATGTTTATCGGGGGTATAAGAACCAGCGGCGTAACATGCGAACTTCTGGCTGGATTCCAATTCTTTCAGTCTCGCGTTATCGACTAACTTGTCAGAATGGATCATACCGATCAAATTCAACAGTCTGAAGACAGTTTATTTACGGACCTAACACTGCTCGATTTGATAGACGAAGACGAGGATTTACAGAATTACCCAGGTATGTATATCTGGCTTATTGTGAGATAAAATTACAATGTCACGGTGCATGTCTCATGTTGACGTGTTGTTAGCTATAGCTGCAAAACGTTGTATAATATTTGTATATTATGCAATATTGAAGTATTATAATGGAATTACCAGGGAGTTGTTCCGTAATGTGGCCGTGACTGCGCACATCCATTATTTTCCATTAGATGCACCGAAAACAACAGCTGTAAAAAGACTGCAACACTCTGCAACGCCGGTGAGTAATTACGACAATGTTTTGAATAACGCTTTATGGCAATGTCCGTCTTAGAGACACACGGGTACTTTCTCCACATCAATACACGCGTGTGTTTATTATGGGGAGGGAACGAGCTACACGTTTAAAAAACCTTGTTTGTGTTTTAGAAATACCCCCTCAAAACCTTGTGGAGACTCAGGCGGATGTTCACGTTATACCTGAGGTTGCGGAGCATTTTACCAGATCGCCTGGGAGAAGAGGTCGGTATTAGTTAAGAATTGTCTGTGCCGTGTTATAAAACATTATTTTAACATACATATTTAAAGGTGTCTATAACTAATTAATATAAATTCCCACCGTTTTCTATTTTTGGTAATTTGGGGTGTTGAGTTCTTTCACTAATGGTATTTTCCCTCTCCGTGCAGAACCCGAACCTTCAAAAAATAAACTACGACGCACCGCTAAGACTTCAACTGAAACAGCGAACTCAAAACGTCTCAAATCAACAAACAAAAGTTAATATAATTTAAGCATGGTCAAGATGTGTTATGAAGCACTTTTTGCAACAGTTACTTCTTTTGTTAGAATGTTAATTCGTTGAAAGATCCTAGTTCACGTAGTTTTCTGTTTTGGGTTATTAAAAAGCCCTATTTTAAAATTGTTCCATTCACCCACAACCCTTTGTGTAAGGATGCGCCACACGTGTGGCATTTTTATCCTAGTTATCCTAGTAGTTTTCTTATTTTGATCGTTTAGATTGCATTGGCTGGTTTGTTGGAAAGTCTTTTATTTTTTTTCATAGCTAGTGTAGTTTTCTGATTTTGAAATATGGTACACTGGTTTGGTATTAAAAAGTCTTTTAAATTTATTCACACAGCAGCTGTATCGACGAGCGGTGAAACAAATGTGGTGGAAACGTCGGACCCTAAGGTGGTGACGGCGTCGAAGACGGCCGTTAATACGCTGACCAAAACCAAATGTGTCAAACCTTTGGAGAGAAATAATAACGCAATTAGAGACTTGGTGTTTGGTGATGTGCGAGACTCAGTGCGGTATATTGCACAGTTACTATCAACGGTGAGCACTAATGAGGTGGATAAAAAGCGGGATTTAGAGAATCTAAGAGTGGCTTTAGCAAGTGTACATTCCGTGTTTCCAAAACCAATCCAGGTTTACGCTGCTAGACTCTTAGACATAATTTCTGAAGTGGATGCCACTCTAAACTCTGGATTTCATAGCCTGATAATGCTATTTCATGGTTCATTGGCGAAGATCCCCAGGGATAAATGACTAAGCATGCGGTCTAAAAAGTGTTTAAAAGACAGACCTCTTGCCAGCATCAAGCGTTTGTACATTAATAAAAGAATTAAACTGGCAAAAGCATGTTTGTTGAGACGTAAAAGATTCAGAGAGAGGCATCAGATTTCCCAAGGGCAGCCCGAACCACACAATGAGAATTCATTGGTGGAAAATAACTTAGCGGGCCGTGGTGCTGTAGCAGAACAGGATGGCGGTAACTTTGAAAACCAAGAACCGGTTGTGATGAACGATGTGAATCATGTTGGTGACGGTGTTGGTGCGAATAGAGACCCCTTAGTTTTCCTGGAACGTATACATAGTTATAACTGGACTTATAATAATTTTAGAACAAACGAGCACTATGAAGAATTTCATTCTGTTAATCTTGACAGAATAGCCTCGTATGTACAGGCTATAGATGATGTGCATGGTGCAGTCCAGAGAATATTGGATGAAATTTCTCTAAACATAGGGGTGAGTGATTTTGTACAGCTGCGTTTGACTTCGGGTGGTTATAACAAACCCTTGTTCTCATGCAGGAGACGGCCCGGAGAATTAAATGCTGCCGATTTTTTAAACCAGATCTCAGACCTCTTACAGAGCCACACAAAAGTTCTCACCACTGATAGCCTCCGATTAGTGGTGACGATAGTTAGGAATATGCAGGGGGGTGCCAGCAGATTTAAATCCGTTCTGTACAGCAGGGTAATTGAGCAGAAGAAAGCACACCTTATCGACTTACATTATGCAGGGGGTAATCTGTGTTTTTCCGGGTGTGTATACGGATTGCTAAATGAAGGTTGTACCCATGGGGAAATGTTACAGGGTGCTAAACAAATGCAGAAAGAGTTGGGTTTTCCAGAGAATCGGAAAATTAGTTTGTCAGACATTACAGCTTTCGAAAAACATTTAAAGGTGGTTTTGTACCACGACCAGGGTGATTGGAAATATTTTACAATGGGTCCCACACCGCCAAATTCTTTTTGTTCTACTGCATGAAGAGCATTTTTATGGGGTTTTAAATATTATACTTTAGTGGGGGCGGCGTATTTTTGCACTAACTGTCATGCGGCGTATAGTCACCGGAACACAAACGCCTGTGTTAAAGCTTGTAAAACCTGTTTAGATCCCCAGTGTTGCAAAATTGATGCAGAAATTCAGAATTGCCCAGCCTGTAAGGTCTTTTGTCGTAGCTCTCAGTGTTTGGCGAGACACTTTCAGAATGTGGTGATGGGTGTTAGTAAGTGTGAGCACAGGGCCTTTTGTGAGAAATGTGGGGTTTATAACCTTGCAAGTCACAAATGTAAAGAGAAACTGTGCTTGCGTTGTAACAATGTGATCGACACCCCTGACACACATTTTTGCCACATACAGCCTTTGGACAAACCCCAAATTTCAAACAAGTACATTTTTTTCAACTTTGAATGCATGCAAGAAACGGGGACACACATACCAAATTATGTCCACGCCCTTCAGATTAACAATAAGCGAAGCTGGGAATTCTATGGTGAAACTTGTCTAAAGGATTTTGTGTGTAAATTTATCGATAGTCGTTCAAAAACCATACTTTCATATCGCACAATGGCAAGGGTTATGACAATTACCTAGTAATCAGACAGTTGTTAGATGAAAAGATGGACGTTGAACTAATTAATCAGGGTGGTAAGATAATGTGTATGACCGTAAAAGCTCTGAACATCAGATTTATCGATTCTCTAAACTTTTTCCCTATGAAATTAAGCAAACTGCCATCAGCCGTGGGGTTCTCCGGGACTAAGGGTTATTTTCCACACTTGATGAACACTTCAGAAAACCAAAATTATGTAGGCCCGATGCCACCGCCAGAACTTTCCGGTGTTAACTACATGCTGCTGAGCGAGAAAGCCGAGTTTCTAATTTGTTTTGAAGAATGCAAGGGAACTGTGTTTAACTTGCAGAGAGAGTTGAAACTCTACTGCCAGCTGGATGTGGCAATTCTTAGAGAAGGCTGTGTCAGGTTTCGGGACGAGGTCATGAATATGACCAGACAGGCGCGTGTGACTGTGTCGGGTGTTGCCTGCATTGTGTGCACCTCTCTGTCCAGCAAATTAACAATAGTAATAATTATGCAAAACCAACATCCCTCCCCTGTTCTCTCTCTCCGCTGGGGTTTGTAATCGTTTTTATCTTTAAATAAATTTTAGCAAAGTCATGTATTTTAAAAATCTTAAGATTTCTTTATTTCTGTCTTTATTTAGTGGTTTCATTAGTGACAAAGGCTAAACTTTCTTGGAAAAATGTCTTTTATGTAAACCATGTTTGCTATTAATTCATTTAGGGCTAGAATATGTTAATTGTCTTCCAATGAAAGAAGGGTTCCTTTCGCCGTAGTCGAGTTGACATTATAAGCTTGCCACCCCCGGACTGTTACACCAATGCATTAGCATGTTAAAGCGATTTCATTGAGGAGCCTAGCTTTCTTAACTAGTAAGTACTGTACTTCCTTGGTTTTGGAGGGGGGAGGTGTCTTTCGCTGGAAATCTCGCCCCCTTCTTCTTTGAAAATACCTGTGAAATCGATTTAATTCGTCACAGCCAGCACTCCTGCTGGCCGCCCACGTGTTATGCTCTTCGTTAATGTCTAAGCCGGAACAGATCATTATATCTCATTTTGTATTTCTTTTAAAAAAATCGTTTGCCCAGCCTAACAGTATTGTTGTTATTGTTTTTATCCTGTAAAGCGCTTTGAGGAGCCAGCTTTAAAGGCGCCATATACAATAAAGCTCATTATTATTACTATTGTTAATTTGCTGGACAGAGAGGTGAACATTATTACGCAGAAGACAAAGATATCGATTTACGTTGCATTGTGCATTGTGCTGCTGTAATACAGTTTTAAATAATTAAAAGTCTAAACAGTATCAGCTTTATTTATGGGTTTTAAATAAAGGCGATTTAAA